TTAGAGGGGACATGACATAAGGCAAATACTTTAAAGTGCTCAATAGAATGATCAGCTGTGTTGAAGTGCCGAGCTATAGGTTTATCATGATCTTTAATCAAGATGCCACACAAGTGTTCTCGTGTACGTTTAGCAAGCATTGAGCTAGTTTCTCCTACGTAGATTTGGTCACAGTTGTTAAAAATAATACAATATACTAAACATTTAGATGTATGGATGAAATGGCTATTCACAGAATACATTGATTTAGGGTCACTAACAGATGTTCTATGATCAATGTAAAGGTAAGTGTTGCATCTGCTCTTCTGATAACTGTATGTACCAACTTGAGTAGCAGGTGATAGTTGAATGTTGTTTGGAAGTTGACTATGGATGAGTAAATCTTTAATGTTAGTGTCTCATTTATAAGAAATTAGAGGTTTGTTAGGGAACATGTGACCAATGGTATTGTCCTGTGTTATGATGTGGAAGTTATCAAACAATATACATGTTATTTGTGTGTTGAATGGGTGAAATGTAAGTGTAAAGGGAATGTGTTGATGATCAGTGGAAGTAGCAGTGTGTTGGTTGAAGCAAGATTGAACACATGTAGTTGGAAGTTTACAATTGTCCACAGTGTTGGTGTTATAATTACCGATATGATTTAAGCTAAGCAAATTCTGGAAAGCTAAATTCGGACGTTTATTGTTAGTATGTAGATTATCTTTAGTGTGATGATATAGAGAAGTAGGGTAGCCACATTTTTCAAAAAATTGGAGCATGTTGATAGATTTGCTATTATAATCTTGGTCGTTACTGCAGAGCTTACATAATCTGGTGAGTTGGGATTTTGTAATGTTTCTCTTGACGTATGGAGGATGGCTGGAGTGAAAATGTAAGTAGCTGTGTGTGTCCATCTGTTTGTAATGTACAGATGTTGTGAGATTGCCATCATCAGTCACAGAAATATTTATATCAAGAAATGAAATGGTTTGGTGAGAAACAGAAGACATGTAATGGAGTGATGGGTGAAAGGATTGAACAAACTGAACAAAGAGGTTGAGTTCATCATTACTGCATGTAGTTACACCGAAAACACCATCAATATATCTATATGGCAGGGAGGGTACCTGTGTAGTTACGAAATGTATAATCTTCAATGTAACCAACAAAGAGGTTAGTGTAGGAGGGACTCATTTTGGTTCCCATGGTTACACCCTTCACTTGTTTATAGAATTTAGTGTCAAAAGAAAAGGCATTTAACGATAAACCTAATTCAACTAATTTAATCAGGGTTTCAGTTGGTGGGTCTAGAGTATCCCTCCAGTCAAGGTAGTGTTTTAGGGCCTTTAGTCCATCTTCATTTGGAATGGAGGTATACAACGACATTATGTCAAGTGTGAATAAAATAACTGAATCTGATTTTGACATAAAATTCACAATTTTTGTAAGGCATCATTGGTGTCTTGAATGTAAGTTGGGAGTTGATGAACCAAAGAGGTTAGGATGGAACCAAGGTAACTGGAGATAAGTTCAGTAGGACAGCTACACGTTGAAACTATGGGTCTGCCAGAATAGTCTGGTTTATGTATCTTAGGTAGAAGATAGAATACAGAAAGCCTGGGATATTTAACAATTAAATTCTTAGCTTCTAATGGAAGTTCGTTATTGCTTATCATTAGCTCTACAGTGGAACGGACAGTATGTTGATATTCATCAAGAGTCGTTTTCACAGATAGCACAGTACGATTAGTCTGGTAGTTGTCGATGAGCTTCCTGAAAATAAAGTTTTCTTCCAAACAACCACTGCTCCTTTGTCAACTTGTTTAATTACAATTTCTTCATGGGAACGAAGATTATGTAAAGCTGTTTCTTCCTTTTTAGTGAGATTTCTAACAGATGTCACAGTTATGAAATCCAAGTTGTAAGTTTCCTTTCGACATTTCTCTACATAGTAATCAAAACGAAGAAATTTCCCAGGTGGGGAAATCCATGTGTTGGTTTGTTTCTGTAGCTGAGAAAAAAAAGACTAATTGTTGTTGGTAGGTGATTCTTGTCTTAAGTGATCTGTAGTTGAAGTGTAGAAATGCGCTCGACGACGGAAACGGCCAAAAAAAAATGTTCGACTTGGTGTTTTGTATTAAATTCATTTATGTTTCTTAATATGGACAAAATTTAGGCCTTTCTCTAGAATAGAGATCTCACTCTGTTAGGTGTAGATCCTGAGATACAACAGAATTAGGTGGTGTGTTTACTGTTAGATTGTTATGGCCAATGTATGGCAATTTCCTTACATTTTGAGGAAGATAAGAATCTCTCATCCCATACACAGAGTTACAATTTGAGTTATCATAAGTAGATTTAAACATGTAACAGTATACATCTATTTATAATCAAATTTTATTGTTCTATTGCCCTTTGAACCATGTCTAACCACTATTCACGTCATTATAAGTTGTAAATCACTCTGGGAACATGCAGCTCACATTACACTATCGAATTACATTATCCTCGAGGTATTATGAGCTGCTCGTGTACATGCCTTGTGAAACATTGTTAGTATATTATTTATTTTACCTGGCTTTCTAACTATGTGACAAGAGCCGTTACAAGTTCATCCAAACTAGTCGTTAGCTTTCCCATAAGAATGAAGCTTGTAATCTGAGAAAAATTGACAATTATTTGTTCAGAACACATTGTTGTACAAACGTCATTTGATAGATGAAAACCTTCATATTTTATTGGTTATAGCAAATATATAATTAAAAGTAAGAGAGAACTGTTAATAAATCCTGAAAGAGAGGATGTAACAGGTGGGTATGGCAGGAGGGGTCTGATTTTCTATCTGATAGCTCTGTAACCAAAGAAAATTGAAGGCTATAAAAATTATGGTTTGTCTGAGCAATGATGATTTTATAGTGAGTAATTGATGTTTAATTTTGTACATTTTGGAGGGATGGTGAATAAAATAAGGAAGAGAAGATACCTAGAGAAAATGCGTCACATATGTTACAATAGGCAAAATTCATAATATTTTTTAATATTGTCTTGTAGACTTAAGAAGTTAAAACTTATATACTATTAAAATATATATTATGAGCTAAGATTTTATGCTATACTAATTGGTATAACATAAACCAAAAGTAGTTTAATAAAATTTTGAATGTAAGACACTAACACCTTGTGTTATGCACAGTAAAGGATACCTGTGGCGATAGGGTTAACATAAATGTTAGTGTTGGAACATAGTTCTTTGTGTGAAGTTCTATATTATAGAGAAAGTAATTCAAAATACAGTCCATGTAAAGTATAACAAAGGAGTTTATTTCCTTCTAACTCTTACTAGTCTATTCACATGGAATGTCTTGCAAGAGCTATATACTTGAAGTTTGAAAAATCAGGAAAATGACAGAGGTTTTGATGTCATGATATATGTGAAAGTCACATGTAGTTTTCAACTGATTACCAATCGTATGATAAGATCACAGCATTAAAGTATACCTGATAGAATGACAATATATTGTAGAATAGACTTGCTGGGTTGAGATACTACAATACAACAAATGCAGTTATTAAATTTACAGTTGGCATGTATAAGTATGTCTATTTTTCATTAAAAATAATTTGCTGTGAATACTTTTTAGAGAACAACACCCTTTCAGATTTTGCCATATAATTTTTTTCGTGTACATCATGTAAACAGGTTTACAGTTTTTTTATCTATATTTTAAAATAAAAGAATCTTGTTATCTTTTATTATTTTTCTTTCCATATGTTTGATATGAAATGAAAAATGTATATTTCACTGTTTGCAAAATGGAATTTGTTGGACTCTGCTATTTTAAGGCTTAAAGGTTGTGGCAGTTGTCCAAGAGGTACAATAAAAATCTTGCTGGGCACAGCGAAGCCTTTCAGTGTGTGTGTGTGTGTGTGTGTGTGTGTGTGTGTGTGTGCATGAATGTGTTTATAGACAGATAAATCTAAGTACAAATTTGAGAAGAAATGGCTGAGCATTGGCCAAAATTTGGGCACGTAGTAAGAATTCTTTTTATAGTGGCTTCAATCCCAAAAACTTTTGGAATCAATGGAATTGGTGTCATTTCACATAATCTGAAAATGTACAATATTTTTTTTTTTCTTTTATTTATAAATCTTTATAAAAATTAATACTTTCACTGTAGTATGTATTATCACATAAAGTTTGTATGGTGATGTGAAAACATGATGATTATTGTTGATCTTTTTATATTAATGCCTTAGGTATAGTCATGGCAACACATATGCAAAATTTTATAGTTATCTATAAAATTATATTTACAACATTGAGTAATTAGTTCTGCTATCCAGGATATATGAAATGTCCTCTAACTTATTGAATGCACCTAATAGCAAGCAAAATACTGAGAAAAGGCAGTCTTAGTCTTCCAAAGACTAGTCTGCCTCAACAAATTCACATCACATATTTCTATCAACTTCCTTTCTCATACATCTCCAAGAGCCTACATAAAATCTACCCATTTGCAGATTTCCATACCAGCATTTTTAATTACCTCCTTGTATTTACAAAATTCGCTTGTATGGCACATGATAGACTGTGGTCCCAACCAGTATGGGGTGAAGTGTAGACAGTGATAAAATTTCGCGGCTTAAAGCCTGATGAAATTTTGCGGCACATCGGCTGTGTCGCCCTTACAATACATTATACAGCGTCAGTTTGCATCACTCAGGGCAGATTGACCTTTAAGTTTACTCAAGATTTAGCGTGACCCTATTCAAGACAAAATATCATAGGAATTTATAAACTCAAAACCTTTAAGGATCTTAAAAACCTTAATCTTGAATCCCAAACCTTTCTTATCTCCATCGAAAACGCCTTACCTAACCGTGCTTTGCCATACTTACGTTATATTATAATTTATAAAGAAACATACAACAAACTTTAAAATGAAATTTAATTCATTAATTGCCATCTTAATTTGAGCTAAAGCTTTTGAAATAAAAACGTACAAAGTTAAACATACCTTCGTTTTCTATATGGCTCATCTTTGAAAATCTATCTTCAAAATAATCTTGAAATACAAAACTAATTATTTCACGTGACACTACATATATTATAATTCTCAGAAAAGGCGCTTAAATAAAAAAAGTACACTATAAATTCTCTTTGGTGTGAATTACAGCGCCATCCAAAAAATTTTTCATTCTTTTAGGTCAATCGTAAAATTTCAATTAATCATTATACACATAAATATATTAAGAAGAAAACCAACAGTTGTTGTTTTATTCTTTTTTGCCTTTTTTCCCTTCTGCTCTTTTTCCTGCTAAAATGTTACTAACTTTGGTTTTTTGTTATGTTATTTTATCGTAGAAAATATCAATGCACGTTACATTTAACAACTAGTTCAAATTAAATACAAATTATAATTTATATGGGGAGGTAAACTAAGATACAGCATGAAATCACTTGGATTTGAAGGTCATATGAATCACCACTAATAGATTAGTCGTTTGACTATATACCAGAACCACGCGAGATCACACTGTAAAGAAATGACAGAAAACCGTATTTGTATTTTGCATTTTTGGCAAAACTACTAAGGCTATCTGCCGCCATTCCTTATTTTGAATTACGGGATCATAGGGAAAGCAGCCAAATAAATAGCTCGCTATAATACATCATCCATACCAAGGAATTGAGTGACATCATTATAATGCAACCAAAGATTAAAGTGTATGAAATATTTTGCGGTATCGCATGAATCGAACCCGGCTTCCCAGCTCCGAAGGCCAGGGCTAACCTGCTCCCTCACTTGACAATATATTAACCACACTATATCTGCTATATTCAGTGCTGACGAGACATTTCGCTCAATACAAGGGCCCTTCAGCTGTTGCTACAGTTTACATAACAATATACACTTACATGATGTACAACTCCTTCACTATATGTGAAGAATATATTGTAATTTCCCTGGACGTGGTGGTCATCGCTCACATTCTAATACTCTGAGTTGAACTTTGGCTCACCATTACACATGCCGATCATGGTAAGCTCAATGCACGCACTGGTCCCTTAGCCTAATTCATGATTGTGCTAGGTCCTAGCAAGTTCGGTCATCTCACATAAACATAAATTCTTCCACCTGTGGTAAAGGAGGAGTGGTTACTTAAAATGTAGAAAGACACTTTATACCAGTAACCGAAATTTAGTCAACTACTTTATAAACAGTGACAAAAACTCCTAACATTGAAGGTTTTGTAGTTTCTTCGATCCGAATCCAAACGTTCTTCCCAATACGAATTTAACAAAATCTGAATGAATAAATAAAATCATTCGCAAGTTCAAAAATAAATCCAGAATTATATTTGTATAGTTCACACGAAACGTTTGTTACAATACTACAACCTAACGTAATTAATACAAGGTTCGGAATTATGATTACCTGGTTCAAAAATAACACTGAGCTCAGAATTTGGTCTTATCTGCCAAAAAACTTGAAATTGATCGATTATAGAAGTGAAACATATCTCTAAATCAAAACAACTCAAAAACAATAGGTAAACTATACTTTCTTTCATTTTGCACGAGCAGGTAATAATAACAGTGATTTTACAGTCACATATTCAATAGACATCTCAGTTACCAAAAGTATGCGATTTTATTCATCAACACCAGGGAAAATAATGGATGTACCATATTTATTACTTGGTGCGTGTAGTGCAGATTTTGTAGTAACTCTATGAGAAATAACATGCTTATGAACGTTTGGGATCAAATTGTACACATTCTTTACCAGCAGTAAGAAAGCACAGAATTTGCTATGCTTTTTACCTCATTGCAGTGAAAACAAACCACTGCAGTTTTCCACCAAAGAGATCACATCTAAACGTTTCAAGCCACAATGTGCTTGCTGAGTTGTATAAAATGTTAGGTGTGGAGAAAACTCTTACTTCACCTCCAGTCTGATGGTTTCACGGAACAAATACTACAGAATACCAAAAAGATGCTAGTGAACTTTGTTAATCCCAAGAGAATCGACTGGGACTAAAAATTGTAATGATGGCATATCGAGCAACAGAACAGGGATACAAACTTCTCTGAAAGCTGCCATTTTCTGGCCTTGAATCCTGATGACTGTACCAACCTTGGTACCTCT